TGCCGAAGATCTGAGTGCACACATAAGTTAACACAATACTTGGTGCTCCTTTCATGTTTGAGCAAAAGCTTAATTCCCATCTACTGAGTAGTAATGACCCAGGATCCTGATCTTCCAGCAGATGGCACAAATTAAACTAAACAGTGTTATTTTAGACAGTCACACAATAACATTGAAATGATATAAATGTGACATTCTGTTTGAATATATTGTTCCTAGCCTGCAGCACTACTTAGAATAGTTCTGAAAGGTTAAGATGCTAAGTTGATGTGAACATCAGAGTCTAGAACTGTGGTTGGACCAGTGAGGGCTGTGCTAGACCTCATTTCTGATCCTGCTGCATAGTGCTTTGCTGCAACCTTGCATAGCCTTGAGGACTTGACCTGAGCAAATGAGGAGATGAAGGAAAGACAAACAATGTTTGTTTGTTTGACTGATTGTTCTTAGGTTGTGTTTTGGCCTTCATGTGAGTGCACTGCATATTTGAACTGTCCTCAGTGGCCAGAAGAGGGCATCAGATCTCCTAGAACTGGCAACAGGGAGCTGAATCTGGGTCATCTGCAAGATCACTAAGTATGCTTAACCATGGAGCCATATCTTTGGGCTCAGCATTTATTACTTTATATACATTTTTTTTATTTTGCTCAGTATTATTTGTACAGAAAGACTGCTGATCTTTGAATGTTGCTTTTGTACCTTGCCACATTTTGTATCTCGTCACTTCGATGACTGTGTAGATTGGTTCTAGTTTTATGGTACAGTCTTAGGCCCTCTTAAATATACAATCACATCTTCTATGAACAAGGGTAATTTGACTTCTTTTCCTATTCTGTACCCCCTTCTGTTTTATTCTTTCATTTTATTGTTCTAGCTAAGGCTTGGAGATCTACTGACACCCTTATCTTGTTTCTGATTTTAATGGGATTCTTTCAGCATTTTCTCCTTTGTTCCCTATTTGTTCTCCTGTTCCCTATTGATTTGTCAGCTTAAGCTTTTATGTTGAGATCCATTTGCACCATCATATCCTTTACAGGGCTTTTATCATAAAAGAATTGCTTTGGATTTTGTAAAGGTATTTCTCTATTTCAATGACCATGTGATTTCTCACATTAAGGCCATTTATATGATTTGCTGCATCTATTTTCTTACATTGAACAACCCTTGATCTCTGGAGTAAAGCTATCTTTGTCATGGTAAATAATCTTTTTCAGGTGCTTATGTATTTCGCATGCAAGTATTTTGTTGAGTGCTTTTGTTAAGGCTTATTGTCACAGAGCCACCAGGTTCCTGACTAGGCAAGGCCTGAGGCCACAAGCAGTGACATGCTCTTGCCACTGTTCGGCTCAGGCTGCTGACTCAGGTGGCCAAAGACACCAGCCCTGCCACCCACAAGACATCAGCCAGTGTAGGAGATGGCTCTGTCAATCTACCACACTGTCTCCACAAGGCTGGGCTGAGCTCAGACCATCCCGCCATCCATGTGGTTCCAGGTAGAAATGAGACTCTAATGGTTAAAGATTATCTAATAGCTTTATATATTTGGTAATGTTCAATTATCAAGATGCCCACACAATTAGAAGTGTTAACCAATTAACTAACCTAGATATAAGTTGTTACCCAGGACTGCTCTCAGTACATGTGTGGTTGTTCATGGCTCCTACATCTCCTTTCTCTTCCTAGCTCTTCCTCTTCATCTCCTCTTCCTTCTCCTGACTCCTCACTCCACCTCCCTCTCATACAGTCCAATCACTGAGCTTTATACAAATGTAGTGGAAAGATATCCCACTACAGGTTTTATACCATCACAAACATAGGTCTATAGTTCTGTTTTCACATTTCATCTTTATTTGTGATTGGCAACTGTGCAATATGTACTTCACAAAAGTAGTTTGAGAGTACTCATCCCATTTCTATTACACAATAATTTGAGAGGTATTGTTTGGAGATTTTTTAAAGGTCTGTGAGTATTTTATTTTATTACTGTTTCAATCTCTTTGCTCATTTTGGATCTGTTTAAATTATTTATATAATCTACATTAAAAGTCGATGAGTTAGACACTCGAAGAAAGGGTTTTCAACTTTCATGGAGTTTACATGTTTTAAATATGTCCTTAGAATTTTTTAAAATTTATTAAAGATTTTAATATTTTGCTTTATTTCCTTTTTTAACTCTAATTTTATTAATTTAGGTCTTCTCTCTTGCTTTAGGTTAATTTTGCTAAGGATTTTTCTAATTTATTTGCTTTTTAATAATTCTTTATCTCATTGATTTTTATCAATAGTTTTGTTATTGTTTTCATTTTATTAATTTATGCTCATTTTAATTATTTATGCATGCCCACTACTTTTGGATTCTTCTCTCTCCAAACTCTTATGCTGTATCAATAAGTCATTTATTTAGATCTATGTGATATTTTTATATACACTATTAAAAGTGTACATTTGCATTTAGAATCACTTTCATTGTATGTCAGAGACATTGGTACATTGGGATTTCATTTTCATTTCATTGAGTAATTTTTAAATTTCCATCTTTATTTTTTCAGTGGCACATGCTTGTTCAGTCTCTGTGAGGTTGTATACTCTCTAAAGTTTCTTTTTCACTCATTTCAAGCTTTAATACATGTGGTCAGATAGACTATATATAGAGTTTTTACATATTCCAATAATTGTTGAGATTTGCTTTGTGTCCCAGTAAATGTTCTATATTAGAGAAATTTTCATGGGCTTTTAGGAAAAATAGATACTCTGTAGTGTTTTCATGGACTATTCCATAGATATCTGTTAGATGTGCTATCTATAATATTATTTAATTACAATGTTTTTCTGTTTACATTCTGTCTAGATAATCTTTCCACTAGTTAAAGTGGTCCTTAAATATGCTACTGTCTTTGTTTCTTTTTCTACTGCTGTGATAAAATATCCTGGCAAAAGCAACACAGAGAAGAAAGGGTCTGCCTCAGCTTATTAATCTACCACCGATAAAAAAACCAGGGTAGGATATAAATTAATGCATGCAGATGGAGCCTCTACTTGTCCAGCACCAGGGAGAAACCCATTTTGCAGTGAAATAAATCATATTCCAGCCTCCATTATTCCCTGCTTTGCTGCTCTCACTCTTCATTTGTCACCAGCACACTCTGATAAGTGATACAGTTAGACATCAAGCATAATGGCTAAGAGTATCTACCACTCTTCCCCTCATGCAGCATACGCCGTCTCAGCTGCTTTTATGTGCTTTGAAATGATTCTTTATAACTCTACTGCAAAGTAGAAGTTGTTTAGAGTTATTTGGAGTCCAAATAACTTGAAATAAAACCACTAATAGTACAATGATAGACAATAGAACTTAAATTAGTCTCCCAGTTAACAATTAAATACACAAGACTAGCTTGTCTTAGGAGAGGGATTGGCTTAGAGATATTGGAAGTCTTGTTGTGCAGACAAAATGAAGAGACAATAAACTGGGGAACATGAGCATGGGGAGCAGAGGATGAGAATAGAAAGGCAGAGCGCTGTGTGACTACGTGTAGCTAAGTACAGCTGTGGGGTACAGGAGCACAGAGCCCATCATGTGTAGCTAAGTACAGCTGTGGGGTACAGGAGCACAGT